CTTCCAGAAGCAAGTGGTGGGAAGGCCCAGGGCAACCGTGTCAGCTGCACAGTTCTCTACCCAGCACCATGGTCACACTGGTCTTCTGTTTTTTTCCAGAAAAGATGCACTTCTGTGAAGAAAATAGCCCAGAAGAAGGTCATCTCCACTCCCCACCCTCAAGTGCAATATTCTGTGCAACAGCTTTTTACAGCCCCTGTGAAGGAAACAGAGGTACCATCATTCCTCACAGCAGTACTTCTACACAGTGCTCCTGGCGGGAATCTGCTGCCCCACAGTGCTGGCAGCCCAAACAAGCAAAAGTGTACACATGCTACAGCACAGCATCACTGCAGGACAGGCCCCAAGTAGAGTTGTTGGGATCTCTTCCCTGTCCCCACGCTCTAATTGCTTGACTGGGACTTAAATTAATTGCAAAGATAGCGGATGGGTTTGTAAGCTACCTACACTGTGGCAGTGCAAGGCCCTTGGGCTGTGGCAATATGCCTATGCTGCTGGCGTGGCCACCGCAGGGTCAGTCCAGCCCCGCCGTGGCACCTGGTGCCACCAGACCTGGGAAGATCACAAGTCAGGCAGCATTTTGAATCCTTCCCCTCAGCCTCCTGGTTTTTGACAGCTGATGCGCCCTGCCCTCCTGCCAGCAAGAGCTTCTCAAAGCCAAGGGTGGCCAGAACATCTCTTCAGAAATCAAAGAATCTCAGGCCATTTGGAGCTTTCGAGAAAATTGTTGTGAAGTTCAGGAGCAATGCAGCAGTTGAGAAGATAAACTACTTCGTTTGTTAATTTTGTTTAGATAGGAGCAGGGACGGACCCACAGCTGCCAGCAGTCCAGCATGGAGAGCAGAACCAAACTCTCCCTCAGACATAAACGTGCACTGCCCAGTTCTCTCAGTAACGGGACTGGAGGGCACCCGAGTGCCAGCCTACACAGGGTGGCACTAATTCCATTAATTAATTAGTCTAATTCTATTTCTTCAGCACAGAGTCAGGTCGGGCCTACTGCGATTGCTGTCTTCCCCCTGCTTTCTCTCGGCCGGTGAGCTCAGGAAAGGCACCCGGTAAGCACCCAGGGCAGCAGCGGCTTCCTCAGTGACCGCAGCGCGCGGTTCCCCAGAGGGAGGCGAGGACGCCAGCGGCCACCAGATGGCGCCGTTGGGCCGCGGCGGGCGCGGGGCGGTGGCACGGGGCGGGGAGATGCGGGGCCGCTCACATTCGGGAGGGTTTTGTGATCGCCGCTTAGCGCTGTAATGTTCATAGGAGCACGGGCAAAGTAAACAAAAGGAGGTACCAAATTTCTAACAGCGCAAAAATTATTAAACACATCCATTACCTTAGCGTTAGCATCTTCCCCCGTGGGTCCTGGAAAAAGAACGTCCCATGAAAACACAGATCTGCGAGGCGCGCTACTGCTAACCAGTGGAAAGTGTACTGCAAGTATTTCCACGGCATTGGTTTCAGCGGACGAGTCTCATTTAAAAACATACGCTGTGGAAAAGCTCAAATGTTTGGAGCTGAAACGAAGTCTGCCTGCCTGCCATCTTTAAAGGTCTGTGAGCACTTTCCCACCACCAGCAGATAAACATGTGTAGGTACAAACCAAATCTCACACTGTCTTAACACCTCACATTTTGACTAGCAGCATTTTTATGGTTTGTGTATTTTTTCAGAAATTAGTGTGCAAAAAAAAATAAATTAAAAAAAATTGCCTTTTTTTATACAAGCATCAGTCACCAAACCTGCAGCTAAAGCAGAAGACGCTGTATGTTAAGCTCACAAAAATTAGTTATTATCTATTGCTTTCCATTTGACCCAGCAGCTTGTAGAAAGATGGACACAACAGACAACTAAAAGGCAGGCCCAGGAACAACCATGAGAAGGGAACCATCACTAAAACACAATTAAGACACGCTACAATAAATCAATGTAATCTGTGTTTTTCTTATTTCAGATCAGGAATAAGAATATTCCACTGCAAATAGCGACTGGCAAACACAGTAAAACCACTTGCAACAAATGTTTAGCCCTTTCATGCCATGTACCACTCAACTGACTTTTTCTTTGAGTCTTCCTTTCTGCCAGTTCACAGGAATCATTTGTACCTGCCATTAAGACACTCCTGTCACTAGAGTAGCCCAGTATTTGTCATTAGTGACTTACCTTGCATAGAATTGCTCCTGTACTTGCTGACTGGTATGATAAAGAAACAAGGACCTTTGCCATAAACAGGGCTGAATCATCCGTGCGTGGGCTGTTTGCTCAGTTTTACTTCCTATAGAAGTGCAGTCACGGTAGATTTAAACGCATCTTTGTGCCCAGCAGGCTATTGCAGTGATCAGCCAGGCACCAGAAGAGAACATTAGAGGGCAGCAAGCACACTCCGTTACAGCCTGGCTTCCCCCAAGGGAAAGGTAAATGCCTGTGCCCCAGTGCTCGGGGATGAGAGTTTCCACACCCGTTCCAAAACGGTTCCAAATTTCCAAGCTTTGAACAAGTGCAGCATGCAAGAGGCAGATTTAAGAACATGCCACACCAAACTGAGCCATATGAAGAGTGCAAGGTTAACTGAAACAACCTTGAGAATTTCTGTGGCACAGCAAGAACATAAGCGTTCAAGTCACCCAGACAGTAACTTGCAAAATCCAGGGCGTCACAATCTCACGTGAAAGAACCTTTATGAGACCATGATTACCTCTCCTTGCATTACGCACACAGACAACCCCTACTCCGACCATACCAGCCAGGAATGCAATGCTACAGTTCACACAAACAAGATGCACAGCCATGCTCAGGTTATTTATTGGTTATCTCAAGTGTTTTTATTTTATTCAGGATGACACCTGAGAAAAGGCTGGCTAGCACTGAACAGTACCATTAAGGCTTTTTACACATTCTAATAAAATGGGGCTATTTAAACTACCAACATTCCTTACCGCAAAACTGCAATTACACCACCAGCTTCTGTAACACACTTGAACGTTCGAAAGCCATTTTTATAAGCCTCACTTGAGATATCAAGAGATAGTCACTGAACTTCCTTCATGCCCAAAGCGTAGTGATTTGTGACAGAATATTTTAAGAATACTAACATTTTCAGAGTCAACTGCTGCAAAGCCCTTTTATTTCCCCAGTTGCCAATCAACATTGTAACAAATGAAACTACTTCGGATTTGAAGGCTGAGCATTAGTAAAGTGACACATACAAAAAGAGTAAAATGAATAGGTTCACGCTTTCCATTACCAGTTTGCACAAAAAGATGAAGAGAAAATCTACAATATCTGCTTTTACTACACTTGCCCATTTTGTGACCTCGGGACAAACAGCTAGATGTGAGCAGATAGTGAAGAAAAGGGTTAGAGTAGTTGTTTTAAAAAAGAAACTAACAAAACCCCACAGAACACCAGCACCATGAAAAAAAAAGTGCCAGACCACTACAGCCCTATCAAAAGCTTCCAAAAACTGAGAAGTATCAGTGCTGTTAAGGGAGCAAACACGGCATCGATTTAAGCAAAAGACAGAGTCCTTTATTTGCCCAAGTGCTACAGCTGGATGATGCATACAAGCACATTTTTGGTTTGTTTTTCAAATAAAGTCTGGACACACTTTGTGAGGCACCGAAAATGGTTATACTTAAAAGAGAACTCATACTAAAATTCAAGTGTCTGGCCACTATGCAATAAGAGAGCAACAAGTTGCACCTTAATGCTTCTTCCATCACCAAGCTGTGGATGGAAGTGCTCGTCAGAAAAGGGCATTTAGTGACATCAGTAAAGGTACTCCAAAGCACAACTACTGCCAAACCTTCTCTTTGTGGTGTAACAAAACTAGCCAAATACACCAGCAAGTCTGCTCAAGAGTCTGCACTGGAAGCTTAAATTCTGCTCTCTCTTCTGCAAAGACGGTGGCTCAGCTATTCTACACCTAGAGCCTAAACACAGGCAGTTTACAACAGAGTACTTAACTCCAGAATTTGAGTTTAAGGGCAAAAATGCAGGATGGAACAAGACCTCAAGCAAGTCACTAGGACTTCTATGGGGCTTAAGTCTAATCCAGCATGAACCAAATGCAGCTTGCAAACCAGAGATAAACCTTGCTGATCATAAACCGGCCACTGTCCTATAAAGGAAGCTGCTGTGAACTATGGACTGCAAGACTAAGTATCAAGATACCCTTTTTAACTATGAGAGAATGCAAGAAGTAAGCTTCAGGTGCTCCCCTGAGCTTAAAAAATCCTCATTCTTAAATGTAAGCAGTGTAACTACATATTTAGTATATTCCACATTAAAAGCATTCACAGCTAGTTGTTTGACCTTAAGGGATGTCACGTTCAGACAAAATATCCCTCGTACTTCTTTTGTCTCTTGAATCTATCCTGGAAAAACATGAGAGTTTTCCATTATTCTGCATGTTTCTGGACTCTAAATGGGTATCTGCCAAGATTTATTAGTCAAAGGGAAAGCAAAATCAGATGCTTTTTCCTCCATCTCCATTTAAAATTAAGCCTTTATTTCAGTCTTTTTAAGCAGAAACCTCTCGCAGCAGGTGGGATAAGCAGGCTGTTACACCATTACACTGTTACATTCAGTTGCAGAGATAGGTCTCACTTCATACAAATATAGGCAAAAAAATGTGTGTTTGTGGTGAGGTTTTTCACCCCTTGGGCAAAAGCATCAAGGAGCAGTTCTTAAATGTCTCAGTGTGCCAAGTACATAATTTTGCACATTTTGCATCAGGCGACCAACTAGTAATGCAGTAAATCTTGCCCGTGGAACAATTAAACCATTGTGTCATGACGCAGTCTTACCTGACAAAAAAAGCACATTCAGCTTGCTTGAGGAATCCAATTGTTTAGTGAAAACGATCTATACTCAGTGTTGTCATAGGTGGGGGTCCTTAATTGCACAAAGGTATAGAGCACTACTTATTGGATTTTAAATTAAAAGTTAAAAATTAACTGAACACTACCCTTCTATCTTAACTCTTAAAATATCTGAGGCACAGGTATGTGTGTGTACTTGTTTTATTCATAATTTGTCTTGGGATACCAAATGTATTTCTGCTTCAAGTGATTTAACAAAACCGTTGACCTAATTTCAGAACATCTACTGATCCATTTTTCATTCAATGGCAATATCGAATGTTAAAAGGAACATAAAAACAAACATGCACACAATTGTACAGTTTTCATAAATGTCTATTTCATTATTTGTGGGTAGCGCATTGAACAGTTAAATACATTTAAATAATGTTTAAGTGACTGCACTAATGCAGAATTTTAACTAGATGGGTAACCAATTTAACTAGAAACCAGCTAACAAGTAACTGTCTAAATACTTCAAATACAGCTCTTGTTCTAGGTCATCCTTCCTGGGGAAAAAAAGCCTGCTGGTCACATTGGAAATACATTTTAAGGCCAAATTCTTCTGATATCCCTTCTCTGCAGCAGTTTCTTTGCCTTTAAGCCTCCAATTCCAGGCCAAGACCAAGTTTATGGCCACCAGCATTGATGCTTTTTCCATCTATCAGGGCAGACAGTGTAAGCTTCACACCTGTAAGATTTTTAAAGAGCAAGTTTATAACATACAATCAGAGTAGCCTTCATGCAATTCAACCTCCATCATTACAAGCCCCAATTGTAGCTCTTTTTCTATTTCGTTATTTTCCTCTAAAGATTTCTACAGAAGAATCCATTTACCCATTACATCTACTGAAAGTTAGTCATGTGAATCAAGCCAGATGCTTTTTGTAAATACTGTGTTATAAAGCAGATATACAAAATCTCTAATTGGTAAGTACACAAGAGCTCTCCTTTTCTCCATTAAGGTGTGCAAAGGAGGAAAACAATGTACAGAAAGAGAGACACTTGTACCAAGGAGTAGACTGAATGAAACGATGATTTTTTTATTGGTTTCTAACTAAGGAACTAACATATGTTAGTATAGCATTAACAAGTGTTTTCATATTTAAACACAACAAGTTAAATTCTGGAGATATTTTTTTACTAAATACGAAGAGCAGGAACTGTTCTTTTCACAACCAATCACTATTTCAAGACCTGCTATTATTCAATACGACTGGAGAAAGCAACGCTAAAAAAGACTGCTTGCACAGCCTAAAGCTAAGCCACCAAACACAATACAGTCCACTTCTACACAAATTAGTGATGAATATGATGTAGAAATACCACTACATACAGTGGAATGTTTCTTGTTTAAATAAAGGTTTGATGTGAAATATAAGCTACTATAAAACATCTACTTTGCCTTCAAGACAAAATTATTCTGAAAAAGGGAAACAGTTGCATGTAAATGCATAAATCTCCAAGATTTTCTTTGTGATGCAGAAAAGATACGTATGTGATGTAATTCCTGTGACAATCCTTACCTGGCCTCAGGGTCTGAGTGTAACCCACTCCAATTAGACTAGAATTGTTCACTTTTGCCTAGAAAAAAAACAAACCACAAACAAAAAGCAATCAAAGACAAAGCAATTGAAATGTTGCAACTGATTAGCTTCTGAATGATAACAAAGAACTAGAGTAACTGCGGCAACACTGCCATTATCAGCTTAATCAAATTTTACTTGTCCTTTCAGTATCTTTGTGCTTTCTGGATTCTCTCTTCCCAGCTATGCTCTTGCTCCCCAACTTACAGCTGCAGAAGTAACTTACTTCAGATCAGACACAATGTAAGGGCTGGGAGAGCTGCTACTTAAGTGCCGTCTGGCAGGTAAACTTCCCCACTCCTCCCTTTTCAGAAGAGCACAGCAATTCACCACCACAGTCTCCCCAAAACAAGACACTTCAGAAGAATCCTCTATGTTCATATTGTTAACAAAGAATCAGAACCTTGCAGGTCCAATCAGTCAAGCAACAAACATTTGATACCATCATCATAGACAGTATGTGCAAAATTATTTATCTCACTTCACATCGCTTCCTCTACAGGACATTTCCAACAATACAGGTTCTATTTTAACTTTGAAACAGAAAATTTCTGCATATCACATCTTTAACTAGTCTGAATTCTCTTCTTACCATAACATGGCAGAACTCCCTAAAAACTGGTTTTTAAAAGAAATACACATCTGTAAACATATGGAACTAGACATGAAGAGTGTTTTTGGGGTTTTTTTAAATACTTAAGTCCTCTAGAGTAGCACAACATTTGACACTCAGATTCTAAAAGACACTTTGCTACATTACAAAATTTAAATACTGCCAGTTTAATTATAACTTCCTGGATAGTAAGAGTAATTCCTACAAGACTTTCTGACACGGTATCTTCTTTTATACTAATAACACAGACTCACAGAAAATACACTCTGCTTAGCATAACCATTTTGGCTAGAGCCATACTTACAGAGACAGAAGCAGTGGAATCCAACTTGTATTTAGCCGCAATGCCAAAGCGGGTGCTGTTGCTACCTGCTGTCCAAGCCAGGTTTACAGCAGTTTCAAGATTGTCGCTCACTTTCTGGTAAATTGATCCACCAAATTCTGAACCATCATTGCTGCATAAATTAAGAAAAGTTACTTATATTTACGTAATCCCAAGATCTGTTATTTTAAATTACTTCAAATTTTTATTCAAATGAGAATTCTGAAAGTTTTAGTTATTTTACACTTTCTGAAAGGAGAAAGGAAGATTAACAAAGGCTTCAGGGCAAAATTGAACTGCAATACTTCATGGAAAAACCAGGTATTTCAGAGTGCTACAGCTAATTCTCACACAAATGCTGAGCTAAGTACTTGAATGTAATTCCAGATCTTACCCTTACAAAACTAACAGAGAGATGTTACAAGCTAGGAAATGGGCATTCAAAATTCTATGATTATTGAATACATACGATATTCCTAAAGAACTGGTTGACCTTTTCAGAAATCTGTCACAATGTCTGACATTAGTAAACTGAAATGGAATTCTAGCAGCCTAGACTATGTAGTGCTTTGCAGCTTCCTCCCAATACCCCTCAACTTCCATAAGCCCAAAACACAAAATTCCCCAACCTCCCACTCCAAAAGGACAAATGCCTACCTCAAAAATAAAAGTTACTTATTTTCTAACTAAATGCACTAGAACAACACAATTTTTTATTAACTTAGATTAAAATTACTCTGTTCTTCAGTGGGTTTTGATCAGCTTGCTCTGAACAACATTTAAGATCTAAAGACAGCAAGTCTGAAGAAAATTCATAAACAAGAAGTGTGTTTCATGCACTCTTCATCCCAGACAGACAAGATGAACCTACTCAGAAAGTCCAAAAGCAAAACTTCAGTCTTGTTCCAGAAACGACTATTGGCCTACTTAAACTGTGCAATGCTAATGACTACCTCAAACAAATCTACTGCCCTTCAATTACAGTCAGATACAATTCAATGTAAAGGGAAATGCTGGAAAAAAAAGTTAGGATCAGCCCTGCATAACTGAACTTCCAGTAACTTCCATAATTAACACACCTCGAATTTATATGTACTTGAGTATTTGGTAATCTGTAGCACGTATTATGCTGCAAGTGCTAACAAGCCACACATTTAGTGTTTTGATAAAGAAAGATAGTAACACTTATCATTTATTTGTAGTTTCTTATTAAAAAATGCACTCCACTCAATGGCCTTGCAAGCACCTCTTGGTATTTCAAGCATTTGTATTCTGACTAGGACAGGTAAAGAAAGCCTGTTTCTGTAAATCTGGACACAGATTCACAATTTTCAGTACTTACACATTAGTGTGCAGTTGGAAGTCTCCAGTCTTGTAACCCACAGAGAAGTTATTTCTTGTCAATTTTGATTTGGCACTATCAAAAGTCATCTGATAACCAGCAAGCCATCCTTCCAGACCAAAGACAGCTGAACCATGGATTGCAGGTCCAGCAAAGTCAAAGTCAACATCACAACCTAGGTTTAGGTATTCACGTTTATAAGTTGACTTAATTTTACCACTTTTCTTTCTGAAAGAGAGAGAAACAGGTATCTTGAGATAAGGCTTGATCTTCCCTCAATGAACTGCCAAATTTGAGCCCTACGACTCTATACAATGTATCTAAATGCAATGCACAGGCATCCTCTAGACTGAGCCAAAGCACAGCTAGCCCATCAAGAAAGAAGCACAGGACATCTTATGATGAATGCAGAGGCATTTTTATGTCTTTTGCAATCTTCCAAGTATTTATATCCCAGAAAATAAGCAAAATGGGCTGTTGTGAAAATGTCCAATACCAACTCCACAGAATAAGATGTGATGCTAAAGAACAGAAGCCTTTAGCATTGGATTTGCTAATATGGCTCAACAGCAAACCATACAAACATCTCTGTCAATACAACAGACCAGACTAACATTTACTGACCATAAGTGTTTTTACTACCCCAAATAAGGTAGAATGGCTACCAATTCTTACCCTGTATTTGGTGAGAAAGTTGTGTCAAATGTCAACTTCAAGCCTTTGGCAATCTAATTCAAGGGGGAGAAGATAAAGCTGTAAATTCAGTTCTGCTAATTAGGCAAAACAAATAAATGCTCTCCTAATCTCTTACCTGATCTTCAATTGCAATTTCTGTTCCCAGAGTGTTATCTGTGTTCCATTTTTCTGTGAAAGTCAGCCCATATTCAGCCCACTTGTATTTGGTCTCCAAGCTCCCATTCACTTTTCCGGTGTCTGTGTTCGATGAACCAGATGTTGTGAATTCCTAAAAACGACAGTGTCCATGTTATACAGACGATACCTGTGATCCCAAAAGCATTACACAGTGCCAAAAGACAAAAGACTTTTCTCCGGCAAACACTAAGATCTTGTTATTCTATGCAACAAGTTTAGACAGCTTGCAGGGCAAGAAGGGAGAACTACATGGACAAGAACGAGGCAATTCCTGGCCACATGGAGGCCTCCTCAAATTCCCCATCTCAACTGCAGCATCTCAGCCACTGTTAAAAAACGCACAGCTTTGCAATGTAACTCAGAAGCAAGACAGTAGTTACTGTAAGTGTTCTCCTTAAAAGCAGAAAAAAGTTCTTGAAATATAAGGTTAAGTCTGATACTCCTCAAACCAAGAGCCAAGAACACCGTAAGGCACATAATGCAACTCCAGTAAAATTCTTTAAGGATCACATACATATTTTCATTATTCCAGTCAAGCACCTCCAAAGATACATTATGTAAAACTGTAAAATGTCATAGAATGCTATGATTTTTCAAATTGGGGGTGGGTGGTAGTTCAGGGTTTTGTTTGTTCTGGGTTTTCTGTTGCTTTTAAAGAAAGTTCTCAGTCTAACCAATGAGCCAGCCTTTCACACAAGCCATACACACACATGGGTTTTTACTGACATCTATAAAATTCCTATTCCCCTGACACTTTGATTTAAAGACACACAGGAAGGGCATTAACGTCTGAATTGTGAGCTAAAGCAACAGTCTGATCTTATCTCTGGTAATATCTTACTTGGAATTCTTGAAAGTATTTAGAAATTACCAATATAGCTCATCTCCTTATTAAACTAAATAGACCCTGATGTCTCTTCTTATTTGGATTCCCACAAAGAACAGAAAAAAATAATTTCTGTGTAGCACTATTCAGAAACTAAAGGCAACACCTGAAAGTGGAAGTCTAGTTTGCAAATATATGTTGAAGAGCTCTTTCCACTGAAATATTATTGCACTTATGGTTTAAAAAGATTATGATTTCAATTTTTTAAAACATGTAAATAAAAATTCTTATCTCTGACTTCCTCCATGCATAGTATTATTTTCAAACCAACTCTTCACATTTACATCCCCTAGATGGAAACACGGATTTTACCTTAAGACCTCATTTGAAATCGCAAGTCCTTAAGCATTCGTTTTCTCACAGTCCAAGACCTACTGCACATTGCAAGCATGCATGAGACTGTTCTTTAATGGTGGCTGATCAAATTTAATCATGGTGAAGGCATCAATCGAACTGAACCGCTAAACCATCCACACAGCTGCACAGTTCTAGTAAGGTCTATTGGTAATGACAGGGACTACACAACTTCAAGTCCAAATACCTTCAGCTTTAGCTTCTTATTTTGTGCAGTTTCTACTGCAGAGGGTGTAAGTGACTGCTACCATTGTGGTAATAGCTTCAGGAGCAGCGAATTATTACATTTATCTCTTATCCCTGCTTTAAAACATCCACAGTACGTACACGCCAGCACTTTCTCCTCTTGGGAAGGATGGCTTATAACTGATATAGAATGCACATGAGGGCTTGCATTTTTCTGAGTTTTACCAGCATTACTAGCAGTCCTCGAAAGAAACAACCTAAAATAAGAACAACCACATCTACAATACAAACTGTGCTTCAGTTGGGCTACAGACTTCTAGAAAACACACGGCATGTAACACACATATCTCGTTTCTAACAGCCAGCTATGCTGTTAAAACTTCCAGTTACGGAGGGGGGGCGGGAAATCTACCTTTATATCTTGCAAAGTCTGCTCTAGAAATAGAGAAAACTTACAGGACGCACTTCTTGCACAACTAAGACATCTTGCGTGAAACATTACTGCAACACTTTAATATCTTTAAAGATGAGCCAAAGGTTCAACGTCCTGAACTGTGAACTACTTCACTTTAGCATTAAGATGACAGAAACTTCCACCAAATAAAAATAGTATCACAAAGTACTTCAGAAATAAATTCTATGTACTATTATTGACACATGAAAGTATTTCAAAAATGTGTCAGCATTGGTTCACCTTCAGACATAAAATGAGGGACTACTAATAAAGCTTTTTATTTTACAAACATTACTAACAGTGCAATACCACTGATATATTCAGAATAAAGTCAGATCTTCAGAGGCTTCTGAAATTTTACATCAGAAGTTTATAATTCATATGACCTACTTAACAGCATCTGAAAGGTGTCCTTTCTAATTAAATATCAGAACACATCCAGAAAAGATATCATGAATAAAAGGTGTTTAAACTCACCACTCCGCTTGCAGATTTTGTTTTCACATCCAGTTTCACCAACCCAAAACCTTAACAAACAGAAGTCAAAGTTAAAACAGTAGGCTTTAACTAGGACCACGCACACTTTTCCAAGAAGCTGGTTTTCCAAGCAGTCTCAGCAGCGTGCATGGCATATATACACACATATAAGACCGACTTCAGTAACACTCAAATTTTAGATGTCACAGTGGGTACAGGAAGCCACTCTAGAATGAACCAGGAGTTCTGTTCTATCATCACCATGCAGAAAGTGAGTAGCTGCCTCTCAGTTGTACATTGCTAAACTCAGTAAACATAGTACTTCCAAGAGTAAATTTAGAGAGATAAAACACATTCTTCTCTGTCCCTGGGATGGCATCAGCTTTGTAGTCAATGCCACTTGAAGAGCTATCCCAATGCATAAAATTTGTCTCTCAGCACCAAGTAGTAGTATATGAAAGCAAAAAAACTGTAGAAATTAAGTTGCTGGGAAACACACAGCCTTTGGAACTGTAACATAGGTAGGTTTTATGGGAATGTCAACCCACATCGTTACACCTTAGAGCTGAGTGACAGTCTTGGTGAAAAAGCCCTCACATGCATTCCCACAGAGCAGAAGGAAAAAGCACTGTAACGAAGCAGAATTTAAATAGGCAACTGCCTGGTATTACAGCATTTTAAAGCATTGAAGGATTCTTTATCCCAATAGCTATTCCTCTTTCTATTTCAAAAAAGGCTATAATGTTAATGGTGTATATCCCTTTCTATATCAACAAACATTATCGCAGAAATAGACTGGTAAACAAAGTACACTCCTAAGTTAAATTATACTTGATGCTTACATTCTTGCATACTTGTACACCACAAACACTATGTTTTATACAAGGTACTATTCTTACCATATCCTTTATTGAAGATATCTCTGGCAGATTTGCCAAGGTCTACATATGATGGAGGAGTCGCCATTGAAGCTGAAAGGGAACAGGCTCATTAATTGTGAATCTTTTACCACTACGCGCACACAAAAATTTCTAACACACCTCTTTAAGATACTCTTTAAGGCAGACTCATATGCAAAAGCAGTTAATAGATCTTTAATTACCAGAAACCAACTGTTAGCTTACATTTCCAAAGTTGGCAGCTACCACCAAAAAACAGGAAAATAAAAATTTGAAAAACTGTAATGCAGACAGTTACTTCCTCAAGTTCCACAAAGTCAAATTTGACAGATGCTTATGAAAATGACCTGAAAGGACCAACAAGGTTTTATTTTCAAAATATAAGCACAGCATCTCTGTTTGGCAACACCATTTGCCCCACATTTTAAATGGTGGACATACAATTGAAAAAATGAATGTCTAGCACCATTAATTAGCAATCGATCTGATTAAGCCCCCAGTAACGTACAAGAGTTTAAGTCTGCCAGGTTGTTTTGTTAGTTTAAAACAAACAAGTAGTAGGAGCAGTGGGTCAGTGAGAAAAGCTCTCTTTAAAAGACCCTTTCTCAGACAGGGAGCCTCTGGCAAGAGCACTGTTAAGGAACCTGTCATTCCAGACCAGACATGACCCAGCCTTCCTAGCTCGATGGATAGATACCCACCTAAGGTCTCATACAGACCTGTGTGGTTCTCCTCCCTTTGAGAGATATGCTATCTGTAACTATCTTCTCTGACTGCTTTCCCATTATTTCAATAGCAAAAGGCCACCGTTATAGAGTCACTGTATTTTATGTTCTGTTTTCTGTATTCTAAAGCTTTATTTCAGAGTTAGTAACTCCCTCCTGTGAAAGTTGGGGAGGGGGCAGATGGGGAAGAGAGAAAGGGGGAACAATGAAACTAACTAGGTAAGTGCCATTAAAAGGCTAAACACAAGCAAACAAAAATCTTATCTTTTCAAACTGATTGGTCACATTTGTTTTGCAGAGAAAGTCAGATTAGCATAACTGACTGTTTATCTTGGTTTATCTTGCTCCCCTGTGGGACTTTTTTGTTTAAGTAAATGGGAAAATATCTTCAGAACCCCAAGAATAACAGAGAGAGTACTCTCACGTTAACTTTCAACCGAAAACAGAAAAAGATTATTTTCATTTTTATATAGCACTTTTAACCAGTATTTAAAAATTTTCAGCACCTGGCTATGGAATTGCTTATATTCGACTGATCTCTGCAAGATCATAAGTGTATGCAACAATACAAGATCAAGGCAAGCTTTTTTTCTTCTTAGAAAGAAAAATATTTCCAACTTTTCATGGCCTTAACTACATAAAGGAAAAACTTCCCTGAAACACCCAGTTTAGAATAATTTCCTTTAGGTTGCCATTCTCACTAAACAGACTGTTGTTTCAGAATAGCATTAACTTGAAAAAAACCCAAGCAAACAAAAAAATACTACAACTGCCATATATAGCCTAACTGTATGAACTATTAAAAAAACCCCAACTATTTTAGCAAGCAATGGTAAGTACAATACCATTTATCTTTCTACAATTTCTAATGCAGTTTTCCAGACTACCTTACTCCACCTCCCTAAGCTATAAGGAAATAACTTCAACCTCCTCTAGGCAAAACCATTTATATTCACAGATTTAAATAAATAAATAAATAAATAAATATCTTAATTCTCTTCTTTAATACAGCATTCTAAACTCTACAACCAGGGCACTACAGCAAGACATCCATCACTTGCTCAAGAATATAAAAAGTCTCGTTTTCCTAGAGTTAAACTGTCTCTTAACAAAACAAAACCAAAGCAAAACAAAAACCACCATGAAAATTACTTAAAAGCATTTGAAGGCTAAAAAGGCTTAGTTCAAGTCCATAATAAATAACATAAGTCTTGAGAAAAAAATATCTATAGCAGAACAGATACTAATCCTGGTGCCAAGACATGAAATGGTTCCTATTATTTATTCAATAAAAAGAAGCAAGTGTTAGATCAAATCACAAGAAAGAGTGGGAACTCTACTCTTTTTTTTAAATTTCTGCTGTACAGCAATTGTACAATTCATTAGCAGTTTAAAATAATTTAGAGAAAGTCCAGCTATGTATTCTTCCTCTAATGAAGATCCCTCTCTTCTAAGTAGCATCTTCAGAGGAATAATTATTTCTAGTTTTAAAGTTCTATACTAGCTTTTAGCACAGGCATGATTTTATGTGTAAATAAACAAGCTTTTCACTTTTGTTTCAAGTGTTTCCAATCTGACTAGACAATCATTACAGACAAGAGATTTATGCTAAGTGGTAATGGCCTGAGAAGTTAACAAACTGGTATCTGTGTCTGAATTCAAAGGATTACTACAGTAAAAGGATGTTGCTGTTTCATCTGGCCTCATTCACCATCCTTCCCACTGCAAGGAAACCAACCACTATTTGTCAGACATTCCAGCCTACAGATGCAAGTTTTGTGATAAAAAGTTAAAACAGTACAACTGTCACTCTGCTGTTCTAATCCTATACTAACAGGGATAGATGAGGACAAAAGAGGAAACCACGAGTTAATGACAGGTATACTAAATACCTGAAAAACCAGTGCCATCATCGGAATGCTCATAAATATAAACAGGGTCAAAAAAAACCCAACCAACCCAAAAATCATTCCTGTGTCCTCCAATGCTGGCAATTTAGCTAGGTTTGCGAAGTCTTATAATAGGAAGTAATTTTCCTCAATCCTATTTTGAAGTGTCTTTCACTTAAAAACTACTAATTTAGAAGTGACTAAAATGTAAGTTCCATTTAACAAGAGATTTGTTGTGAAAGCAACTACCAGACAATTTTAAAAACACAGAATCTACTTGAATCAAGCAGGAGCTCCACCCTGATCTCTGTTTCATGCCAAAAAAAAATTTAATTAGTCTGTTACTCGAAAGCCACAACCATGCTTCTTTCGCAAAAAGAATATTCCAAGAGTAGAAAAACATATTAATGTTATCAAAATTATTACATCACAGTTTTCCTTCGAGGTAACATTTCAAAACTCTCACATCCTATAATTAAAGGAATGCCAAGGATTCCTATAAGGATTTCTAACAACTTTAAGATCTCAAGATATAAAAGGTCAGGCTAGAGACTAAATCAGGCTATAATACAAAACCCTAAGTATCCGTACCATTTTTAAAAAAATGGTACTAACTACACTGAAACAATATTCCAGCTGTGTAAAGAGCAACAAACTGAGATTATTCAAAAAATACTTTGTTAACATACATGGGACACACAACTGACCTTTAGACTTCAAGTGCTACTAAAGCTTATTAAAACAAAAAACCAACCAAAAACCACCTCTTTACCCTTGCTTTAACTCTCTCCCTACTTACATCTCAGAGGACACGCTACTCTAGAAGCCATGGCTAGGTCAACTTAGAGACTCTACGGAGAAGGGAAAGATTATTTCAGAGTCATCTGAAAACGAGCTACGTGCAGAGAAACCGAATGCAGGGGCGAAGCAGAACCTCCCAGAAGGACACCGAAAGGGAAAACGTAGACTCGAGGAGCCAGGCCGGGAAGCGTGAAGAGGCGGGCACACCCTTCAAGGGAAGGCCCCAGGCGGCGGCGCCCGGCTCCCGGTCTTTCC